CCCCGGCTCCCCCCGCGGGCCTACCGTGGTCGCCGCCGCCGGTCGGCCAGGATGATACCGTCCGCTGTCCGGTCCTCCGCGCACGTCTCCCCGCCGGCGCGCCTGCCTGGTGTCCAGCCGCCTGGCGGCCATGTCCAGCCTCCCGACGGCCGTGTCCAGCTGCCTGATGCCTGTGTCCAGCCGCCTGACGCCCTGGACGGCCGTGTTCAGCCGCTTGACGGTCATGTCCAGCAGCCGGACGGCCGTATCGAGCCTCCTGACGGCCATGTCCAGCCACCTGACGGTCATGTCCAGCCGCCTGACGGCCGTGTTCAGCCGCATGACGGCCGTGTCCAGCCGCCTGACGGCCGTGTCCAGCCACCTGACGGTCATGTCCAGCCGCCTGACGGCCGTGTTCAGCCGCATGACGGCCGTGTCCAGCCGCCTGACGGCCGTGTCCAGCCACCTGACGGTCATGTCCAGCCACCTGACGGTCATGTCCAGCCGCCTGACGGCCGTGTTCAGCCGCATGACGGCCGTGTCCAGCTGCCCAGCGGTCATGTCCAGCCGCCTGACGACCGTGTCCAGCCGCCTGACGGCCGTGTCTAGCTGCCGAACAGCCGTGTCTCGCCGCCTGACGGCCATGTCCAGCCGCCTGACGGCCGTGTCCAGCCGTCTGACGGCCGTGTCTAGCTGCCGAACAGCGGTGTCTCGCCGCCTGACGGCCATGTCCAGCCGCCTGACGGCCGTGTCTAGCTGCCGAACAGCCGTGTCTCGCCGCCTGACGGCCGTGTCCAGCCGCCTGACGACCGTGTCCAGCCGCCTGACGGCCGTGTCTAGCTGCCGAACAGCCGTGTCTCGCCGCCTGACGGCCATGTCCAGCCGCCTGACGGCCGTGTCCAGCCGTCTGACGGCCGTGTCTAGCTGCCGAACAGCCGTGTCCCGCCGCCTGACGGCCGTGTCCGGCTGCCGGACGGCCGTGTCGAGCCGCCTGACGCGTGTGTCCAGCCGCCTGACGGCCGTGTCCGCGTCACCCGGCCGTGCGTGACGGCCGTGTCCGCGTCACCCGGCCGTGCGTGACGGCCGTGTCCGCGCCACCCGGCCGTGCGTGACGGCCGTTCCGCTGCGGACAGGCCTACCAAACTCGGTGCAGCGCGCGGCCACGTACATCGCGCGGCGGGCGGCCAAGGAGCTCGACATCGTGCCCGGACGGTCTCCCATCTCGGTGGCTGCCGCTGCCATCTACATGGCCTCTCAGGTACCGGCAGCGGGCGGGCGCGGTCGTGTCGTCTTGGGCCGCGACCGTGCCGGGGAGGGGAGGGGTCTGGCGGGTACCAACCAGCCAACCAACTACCAACGGGTACAACGGGCTGGCGGGTACCAACCAACTGAGCTATCCGGACAGGCATCTGAAGCCAGATCTCAAATTTACTGCCATTTAAAAGCTCACACATCTCTTCCGCTGCGAGTGCATTTTCTCTCGCAGCGAGTACACGGTTTGTGCAAATCGATGTGTAGGAGAGCCTGACTTTATGGAACATAACTGCCTGACGTTGTTGCCAGAGCACTATCGCTAACCAGCGCATCGGCCAGGGAGGTCTGACTCACCAAAACTGAAGTCACCGCGAAACGACATTGCACGAATTTGCAAACCTGTCCAGAACCACGCACCACCAATCACTGATCAATGCCTGGCACCGTCCGTGATGTTCGTCACTGATCAGTGCTCGGCGCGGTCCCTGATAATCCATCGTCACTGATCAGTTCTCGACACACTCCATGCTAATCAGCATCATTGATCAATGCTCGGTACAGTCCATGTCGACCATCACCACGGACTGTGCCGAGCATTGCAGCATGTTGTGGTTTTCGTCGCGATATCCTATCGACCGAGAATTTCGCAATCGGATGGCTGGGTCGGGGTTCGTGCAACACGCGATGCTTAGCGTGGGTGTTGATACCAGGAAGCTGGCAACTGAAACGTTTTGGGCTGAATCTTGTCAGCAGGAAATGAGGCTAAGGTGGCTCACATATTTGACGCTTCACATTATGCGTCATACTTCCAGCGGAATTCAAAGTTCTCAAATGCTGTAAGTCTGTACCGTGTCGTCCACCGACGTGTGTTTGCCGTATTTGGGAAGGGGACGGCTTACATCCGGTTTACGTGTTGCGGGAGCTGCATACGATGCGGTGTTTTCCTGAACGCCTCCGCACACGTGGGCGGCGAGCGGCGGTGCTGCGGGCCGACCATGCTCTGACCGGCTTCCGCAGGCGTCAGAGGACAAGAAGACGCAGAAGGAGATTGGCGACATCGCCGGCGTGGCCGACGTCACCATCCGCCAGTCGTACAAGCTGATGCTGCCGCGCGCCGCCGAGCTCTTCCCGCCCGATTTCAAGTTCCACACGCCGATCGAGGAGCTGCCGCAGCTGTAGGCTCCGGGCCGAGCTCTCAGCACCGGCCGCGGCCGGGGGCGGCCCCGCGGGCCTCGCCAGCGGCCGTGGGCGGCTCCGCCGGCCCCGCCAGCGGCCGTGGGCGGCTCCGCCGGCCCCGCCAGCGGCCGGGGGCGGCTCCGCGAGCCCCGCCAGCGGCCGGCGCGCCCACCGCACCCGGCCGGAGACGCCGCAGATGGCGACTCCGGGTCCGCGTGCGCCCCGTCTCGGTCCGCGGGAAGTGCGCGGTGCGGCGCGGCGTTTGCCCTGCGGGACGCAGCGGGCCAGTGGCGACAGCGTCAAGAGCACGCTGCGGTGCGGGACCGGCGCCGTCGGCCGCCGTATCGTACCCGGCAGGCGTGTCGTGTTGCGTACGCTATTGCCCAGCGCAGACGAAGGGTCGGCACCTGGGTCCCGTCTGCGGAGGCTGGGCTCCGCTAGCGACTCCGGCCGTCGCGCCGCCGGCGGCGGAGCGCCGGGCGACCCGCGGGCCGGTGTCTGTGGTGCCGGCGCGGCCTGTGATGCCGTCGAGGTGCGTGGCGAGGGCGATGGACATCATATAGGAAAATGAAGACATCGGGCTGGCCGTGGGCGGATTGGGCGCGTGTGTTCTCTCAGCGAGGGTGGATGCCAGGACCTGAAGCAGGTGAACTGTCGGTCAGCTGCGCACTCCGGCGGCGTGTGCGGCGTGTTGCTGCCTGCCGGTAGTGCGGCGACGCACGGGGTTTCTCCGTGGAGTGACGCCCTGTTCTGGCTGGCGCACTCTCGAGCATTGAGTCGAACAACCCCCGTATCAGTGAAGGTTAGTGCATGGCACCCGCCAGGAGCGGTGTTCGGGGTGACACGCAGTCGCTAACGCCAGGAATGAGCTGAGGGAGTCATCGGACGTTGTGTGGCTCGCCTGGTTGAAGCATGAATCGTCAGTAGTGGTACAAAATGCTTGTTTGAAGGGTAATGGTTCGTGGGTCCACTGAGCGTTTTCGCTGTTTCCAATGGCGACTGCCACGCTTGTTCTTCATTGGTGAACTTTGCAACGTTCATTGTGAAATGCCTGGTTGATTGTACTGTTTGGTGAACCATGTGTCGCAAGCTTCCTGTCGGGAGTGTTGGAAACTGCTATGCATTCGTCGTATTTTTGTCCTGAACTTGGATTATTATTCTTGGTTGTTGTGTGGACATATGTCTAGGAAGTGGAATGTGCTTGTTCAAGCATACCAATGGCCATTATAAGTAATTCAGCTTTGCAATTAATTCCCGACGCGCGTGGTGTTGACTTTTGTCCCGTTGTCCAGATGACCCTTTTCCAATAATTTTGGGCTGCGTGTGAATAGATCTCTGTTTTTCTGCAAAACCGCACTTGGATGCATTGTTCAGCAAGCAATGCTGGAATGCAAATACATGAGTAGACCAACCCATTGTGGTGTGTTTGTGTTGATGGTGCCGGGGTCCAGGGTGCAGCCCCTGAGGTTCCTCTTGTGGGGCATGCCCTCGAAGTTATGTTCGTCAGGTGGACGGGCTTTGTGTTCCCCTGTTTAAAACGCGGGTTGAGGCCGTGGCTTACCTAGATCAATATTTGTCCGTATAGACATGGGGGGCTTGTCTACAACCATGCGTGATGCATCTTTTGTCTCGCCGTACAGCGCGTGGTGCGCACGCTGCACATGAGAATAGGATACCAGCGAAAAGCACTGGATGAATTTGTGGCTGAGGGGCATATGCCAAGCTAAAAATGTCTGTATCCGAACTGTTTGTGAATGAATGTAGCCATATGTTAATCCGATGGGGGGGGGGGGGGGGGCAGCCGCACCGTGGCCCCTCCCCCAGGATGGCCCTAGTTGGGTAAAACATGACACATTTCCGAACTTTGAAGAAACTGCATGCAACTTTCGCAGGGATGAGGTTGTTTTAGAATGGGAACTGGGACCCAATGGGTTTGTTTTTCAAAAGCAGGACACCTGTTGGATTTTGCTCTCACAAGGCGGCCTTCTGGATCCGCCCCTGCATGTGTCTTCATTATGAAGATGGCATATAAGGTCATGTGAGGTGGTATGATATTTTGCTATGCTCCGGTGACTTACGAAGACATTGATTTAAGGGTTTGGAGGCAAGGCGTCCATTCATGGCTTTCATAGGCTAACAAAACACATTCCTCTGAGTAAAGAAAGCGGCGAATTGTTCACTGCAACATACTATTTTTGGCAAATTTGCCACCAGCGTCATCAGACTTGTGGGGTAAAAGCGTGCGAACTCAGAAAAAGAAGCCGACCTATGCCAATTGTACCTTGATTTGAATCTAAAGTACCTGGATTTGATGGATTTCATTTCTAGGTTCGGGCGGGAAGGCTGTACCTGTGCCGATTGTACCTGCTTGGGCGACCCCTTATCCGTCTTACAGAGGCCCTCTTATCCCTAATCCGCCGCCGACCGTCCTGTTTCCCTGTCTTGTTTCACCCTTGAGGCTGGCCGTGGTCCGTGGTCTGCCTATCGCACGTTGTTTTCTTGACGTCATAGAAGTCTGGCAGGCTGGACTACCACGTTACAGCTAAGGCGATATCACAACCATCATTTAAAGGCAAACATCGCACCTTGAACCGTGCGCTCACATCCGAGGCGGTTTCGGCGGTAAACACCGGCAACGGGGGTTGGTTGCGAGGTGGTTCGGCGATTTCGCTTAGGGTTCGAAAACAGGTGGGTGACTATGAAGTGATTGTTTAGGTACGTGCTTTGATATACTTCTGCATTGTATGGTTGAAATCTGTTAACTAAAGTGGCGTTGTTCAGGGCCAGTCGCATCGGAAGCTCTCAAAGTTCTGAGTGCAATAGATAATTAACACGCTATACTGAACATGTCGGTCTTAGCAGCGACGTGGCAATAATTTCAGCGTACGTAGGATGAAATGTGAGACTTCAGAATTAAGTGTTCGGTCAGCACGAATTTCATTACATAGACTCTCAGATAATTGTGACGTTCTAAGGTACTTGTTGGCAAATATACTTCAAACACATTTTTGTCTAGAATTTTGTGAAAACTCAGCGCGCTGCCCTGGCAGCATGTGCACTGTGTGTGGCATTGTGCCTGGCATGTGTGCATTGATGCGTGCTGCATTAGGTACAGGTCAGTACAAGGCTCAGGACATCAATGTTGCATAATGATTTTTCACTGTGAATGGATCTGTTGCAGATTGGTTCTAGGTCTGTGGGCTGATAGCCATATTTGGTCATTTCCTTTGAGTTAGTGCATACAGGGCCAATTAAAATTTTCAAGAGACTGAGGCGCTCCAGGATTGGTCAGTGTCCAGTTAGCAGGAAAGCCATCCACTGTCGGTGAACCGAACCCCTGGCTTATAGATGCTGGGCTGGCCAAATTTGGCAGAATTTTTGTGTGCTGAAATCAGGCCAGGCATGTGCATAAGCATGCAAGTCTTAAATGATTGAATCCAAAGAAGGCATAACAAAAAGTATTAATTTTCTGCTGCTTTCAACATGTTGTATGTAATTTGTCTGCAGAGATGGGTGGTGACAGCTTACCTGAAGGCTGGGAAAAGAAGACGAGCAGGTCAAATGGTAAGCTTATAGAATTAGGCAAGTTTGCTGGGCATGTATGGACTTTTAGGGTGAAGGTTTCAGATTGGCAGGATAAGAATTCATGCACAAGGAGGTAATATCCCCCTATAATGTCAAAAGCGGTGACTACTATAATGTTTTCTCTGTAGTGATGATTTTTCCTGTTATATGGTTGTGAATGTATACTTGCATGTTTGTGTTGGTAGTGCACTGCTAACACAGTACAGCTTTTAGAATTTCACAACATTGCAGTTGGTTGTGAAACAGTGAACTGTATAATCTTGCTTTCAAAATGCAGTAATTCTAGGCTCTCCTGGATGATGTCCACCATTGTGCAGCATCAGTGCATCTGCACTTTAAAACAGATACATTGTTAGCTAAACTTTTGATACTGGCTGATTGCTGGGTTGTATCATGTCACAATATGAGTTTGCATATGTGTGTACAAAAGCACCACAATGGCGATGTTATTTCAGCTGCGGGATTGGCGTACATACCTAGAGACTGATCATCATTCCCAAGTCTGATAACCTAGAACAGATTTGTATTAGATTCCTAGCAAAATATGGCAAAACTGTGCAACATGCCATATCTTAAGATGATCACTCTTCCCATGAAGGCCCAGACTATGCTAGGGTAGGCTGTGTTGTCTCTAGCCATTTTTGAGCTATATTTAATTTGTTCATGGATAATAATTATGTCATATAGACTTCATGTATCATGGTTTTTCACAGATTTGAATGGTGACAGTCACTGGTGTGATCAACAACTATGCAGTGCTGGCTGTGTGCGAAATGGCTCAGAATGGCATGCAAGCCCTCTCCTTAGAATTATGATATTTACTCCAAAACCTCTCTGCATTTAAGAGTTAGAGTTACAGACAGTCCAGATCCAGACCTTTTTGACATGCGATGGAAGCAGACAGCAGTGACCCATAACATCTCAGATGGAAATGTGCTGTAAAATCAAAGCTGACCCATGGACAAAGCTGAGTATCTGTAGAGGGACCTTAACCTCCAATCCCCACTCCTACCTCCTACCCCTCCATGTTTGTCATGGTCATAATATTTTGATGTAACTAAAAACTTGTGTAAACCATAGCAACAAAATGTTAATGTGTCCAAGATCAACTCACCACCTGTTCTGGCTTGTCATCACCAGCTTACATTGAACTGGCCTTGACACAGCATGTTGGCAGGTCAGGTATATTACCTGAACAAATTCACCAAAGACAGTCAGTGGGAGGTGCCCACCGAGCCTGCACGCGGCGCCGGCGACGCTGGCGGCGAAGGCCCAGCCAAGGTGCAGGCCTCCCACCTACTGGTCAAGCACCGCGACTCGCGCCGGCCCGCTTCCTGGCGCGAGGACCCCATCACCCGCTCCAAGGAGCAGGCACTGGAAATCCTGCAGGGTCAGTATGCTGGTTGCGCCTGATCTGATCCAGTTGCTCCTCTGCGCCAGCTGTTTCCCTTCTCTGCGCCAGCTGCTCCTCTCCTGCGCCGGCTGCTCCTCTTCTCAGCGCCGGTTACTTTTCCTCTGTGCCGACTGCTGCTCCTCTGCACCAGCTGCTCCTTTATGCCAGCTGTTCCTCTTCTCTTCACCGGCTGCTCCTCTCTGCACCAGCTGCTCCTCCTCTGCGCCAGTTGCTCCTGTGCGCCAGCTGCTCCTCCTCTCTGCGCCGGCTGCTCCGCCTCTGCGCCGGCGGCTCCTCTGCGCCAGCTGTTTGTTTTGCCTCTTCTCTGCGGCGGCTGCTTCTCCTCTGCGCTGCTTGCTCCTCTGCGCCAGCTTCTCCTCCTCTGCGCCGACTTGGCAGCCTTCTGGCGTGTGGTGTGGGCGGGCTGCGTGTTGTGAAACGCCACTGTGTTCGTGCTGCCCTTTAGGAGCTGTTAGCGCCCACTTGTCCTTCGTCAAGGGGCACTGTCATGATCTTAGTTTGTTTGTTGTTTTTATTTGAAGAAAGGTGCCCTTCCACTCGACAGCATTGTGGTCCCGCCAGTTCACGGGCAGCGGATCATGCTCCGCCCAGGTGGCCTCTGTGTGTCGTCGGGCTATTGGAAGTGGGTGTTGACTAACCGAGTTGACTAACCGACTCCCCGACTAACCGACTCTCCGACTAACCGATGACTAACCGACGTTGACTCTCCCGTGTTGACTAACCGAGTTGACTAACCGACTCTCCGACTAACCGTTGACTAACCGACGTTGGCTCTCCCGTGTTGACTAACCGAGTGTGCTCGTCGGCTACCGTGCGCAGATGGTGCCCTCCTGCCGTTGACCGTCGACCGTTGACCCTTGACCCGTTGACCGTGCCGTTGATATAAGCCGCTGGCCACCGTCAGATTACCGTGAGCGGATCGTGTCCGGCGAGGACACGTTCGAGAACCTGGCCTCGCAGTACTCCGACTGCAGCTCCGCCAAGCGCGGCGGCGATCTGGGACCATTCGGGCGCGGCGCGATGCAGAAGCCGTTCGAGGACGCCGCTTTCGCGCTCGAGGTGAGCGCGGCCGCGCGCCGCCCGCTCGGCGCCGGTGACGAACGGTCTGGTCGAGCGGAGCGGGTGGCGGCCACCGCTATGTAGTGCCGAGGGACACCCGCAGAGCATGGCGAAGGTCATGTACTGGAAGGTCATCCTGAAAAAGACGCTGATCAGGAGATGTCTACTTTGAATTGTAAACGTGGCGTCCCGCAATATGCTTTCGCTGTGCATCCTCTGGTCGATGCCACTGGCGTCTGTTTGGACCCGTGCTGGTATGATGATGTGGGCTACGTCCTGATTCGGCAGTGACCGGAGAAAGTGACTGCCGCCGCAGGTGTCGACAGACCCGCTTCTTGTGGAAAGACGTCATACCAGAGTCCGGGCAGTGTAAAATTTATGCATGGATGGATTATGATCGTGCAAACAACCACTCTAGCTTGCTCGAAACTCATCTGGGGAGCAGCTGTCTGTAGTTGGCTTACCCCTATCCATACATAATATTTTTTTCCCTTTTGGACGGCATGTAAAGAAATGTGTCATAGACTAAAAAATTATGCATCTGGGAAGCGTACTGGTCTCTATAGACGCGCTGGTATGCCAATCTGGTCCAACTTTTCAGTCTTTGTGGTAGTTCCCCGTCTGGCCCTGCGCCCGCCATCTGCTCTTGCGCAATGCCACTATGTCACAATGTCACTTTAATGGTGTATTGCTTGTGCCCGAACTTTCGGCTGTCCTGTGTTGAGGTACCGGAATCCCCGTCACGCTCCGAGCGACCTGGCGCGTCATGTTAGCGCCAGCGATATTGCGGTTCGCCTGTAGCAGCCGCCACTCTGGACCACGCTGGTTGGTCAGGCATGACTGGTTTCCGACGCCGGGCTCTCTTTCTGGACTCCACTGGAAGAACGGTTGTCGGATCACATTCTTGGTCGTCTTGGCTACCACCCTGAGGAATGAACATTGTTGATAGTTCTTTGTTCTAACACGGCGATAAGTGAAAGTGCAGAAACGAAGCATTGATGGCCGCTATTACGAGCAGTATAACCTCAAGGTCGTTCGCGAGCATCAGCTATCCAGGCTCCTAGCAGACGCCTTGCATCTCTACACTGTGCAATCCCCGAGATAAGCCGTTTTAATCACGATCCTCACCTAGATCGTGCGGTGCCATTTAATGCATGGTCCGGTTCAATGCACGTGCCTGTGGGTGTGGCGCCGCCGCGTGTGGAGAGCTCACCGGCGCTCGCTGTGTGACGCGGCAGGTGGGGGAGCTGAGCGAGCCCGTCTGGACCGACTCCGGCGTGCACATCATCAAGAGGCTGGCGTAGGTCGGCCGGCACGGCAGTCCACGCGTGCCCCGCCCTCCCCGCGGCCGGCGCCGCTCGGCTCGGCGCCACGGGACAGCTCGTCACCAGAAGGCAATCCGGCGGCCAGGCCGACGCCGGGCAGCATTCCAGCGCGGGCCGAGTGACGGCTGATGGAGCGGCAGCCGTGCTGGGCGCGCGTGGCGGTGGCGATGCCAGTCAGGCCTGCTTCTTCGTGTCGGCGAATTGGCTGTCTGTGACGGACGGATTCCCTCGTTTGGTGGTTTCCCGCTCGCGCGCGGTACTTTGACCGTTCCCTTGATGCGGCGCTTTTGATTCGTCTGTGCGGCATCATGTGTGTGTCTGTTCGGCGCCGACTCCACCTCCAGGTCATGCAATCGCGACGTTGATCGGCCGGGCGGGCTGGGCGTGACGCCGGCGCGCGGCACGGCCGGCTCCACACGGCCCGCGTTAGCGCGTGACGCGCCGGGCGCTGATGCCCCGAGGTCATGCACCGGGAGCCGGCCGAGGGTCTCGAGCCGAGCTGCGGTGGCCCAGCCCCGGTGCCGTCGTCGGGACCGGCCCTCGGTCGATGCTGTAAGCTCCCGTGGCGTCGGTGTTCGAGGCGTGGTCCTGGCGCTCATGCTCTAAGCGAATCAGCGCTGCTGCTTCCCAGAATACACATCGTTACCGTCGTTTGGGTGTTGCTTCGAATTCCGCGGCCGCTGATCAATGCTGCATGCTCACATGAGATGATCGACGGGCGACGAGGCAAGCACGAACTATCAGCACCCTGCTGACGGGTGCGGTTACTGACCTCAGCTCGTGTTATTATCTCTGATCTTGCAGTTAAGCTTTGAATAAGTATACCTCGGGGTCGATTTTACGAAACATCATCTCTACTGCTTGTACGACATACGTGTTCACAGGGCGTGTCCTGAAGGGGGCATGGCCCTCTCTGGGCCACTCATGAGATTTGGTCGTTCTGAATGGGCGGCAGAACCGCATGGTGAAGGGACACTAAAACCTTTCTTTCGGGGACGTCACCTTTATCTTCAACAGTCGCCAAAAAGTAAGGGTCCTTAAGAGGGCACTACATCTTCATTTTCGGGGGGGGGGGGGGGGCGCCAAATATCAGAAACACCACAGTGCCGGCACTGCGCTCCTTGAAATCCTGGATAAGCCCATTCGGGGAGTGGGCACGAAAACTTCCATTCCGCACACCGTAACATTTATTTTCAAGGTGCTCCAAATCCCAGCAGGCCTGTGAAAGGGCCAACGGCTTTATTTGGAAGTGGACCAAAATGCAGGGGCACCTCAATTTCTGTGCCTTTCAGCTCGTTTTAATTCTGGATTGATCCGTTCAGCGAATGGTTAGCAAAAGCCTTCATTTTGGTGCATCACAGCTTTTAATTTCCAGAGGCGCCCAGTTCCAGGGGCGCCACAGGGTTCTAAAACTTTCATTTGTGGGGGGCACCGCAATGTTTTTGTCTCTCTATTCGCGTAATCCTGGATCGGCCCATTCGGTGAAGATGAACTAAACCCCTTATCTCTTGGCGCCACACAAAGTTAGCTCCTTTATTTCACTATGGTTAAGTGGACCTTTTCTAAACTGATCCTACTCAGAGATAGTTGAGTGGAGGGCTCTTCAGATACAATAAGAGCCCCTCGAACGTAGATTGTGGATCGAAATGGGAATTAATTTGCTATTTGATCGCGCAGTCGAGCCGCCCGAGCCTCACCTCCGCCAGGCCTTTTTTGTATTAACATGGTCAAACCATGTTTGCTTGAGCACGTCCATCATTTCGCAGAATCGTCTAGTGAGAAAAAAATACGTTATTAAGTTCTGAGCCTGCGTGTTCGCAATCTTAGGAGCAAGAATACCGATGGCCGGGGTTGCAGTTACCTAAAACAGAATATCTGTTGTTCAGTGCATTCGCGAGGACATTATTCGCACAGATGCTTCTGTTATGGTTTCGATAAAGGCATGTTGCCGAAATATCAACCAATCTATTTCTCCATTCTCCTGCTTTTTCTCCGAGACATAAGGCTCTTTCTATTGCCTTATCTATGAAAGCCGAATGTCATTGGACACTGCGGATAACACTAGGCGGCGGACGCTGAGTGCGCGAGAACGACCTCAAGAAATAATGCTTCTGAGAGCGTGTTAGGGCCAATTTGTAGCATTCAAAGGCTGCACTGGGTCATATACTTCACCTGTATAATTTTAGTCTTTCCCTCTGAACAGATTAATGGATACAGTAGCGTGAAGTATGGACATTTTACGTCTACCCCTGCAGTTCCACCACCAGATTCCAGCTCCAGTTCACGGTGCTGCAAATGCCAATCCGTTTATATGATCAATCTAAAAAGTGCGCAGGTGAAATGTACGCTCTGGCTTCCTTCCAACCATACCAACTGATATGCTAAAACGCCCAAAGGTCTTCTTTTAGATATGCCATAGTTTTCGTCCGCCTGTTGGTCACTTTCTGGTGCTAGACGCAGGGTCGACGCGGCGCGATCAATGAAGACTGCAACGCCGGCCGCGGGGTTTTGATTTCGAGACGAGCGTATGTTAAAAACTATGCTACATAAATATATTTTCACTTACCGATTCTTAATGAAGATTAGACATTTCTAGAAAAGCATGGGCTGGTCATCTTAATGCAAATTGTTTACCCCATGTCGAACTACAATCTACATTCGCGGGCAGACGCGCGGCCACTGCCATGGCAAGGAAGTGCGCGGGATTAAGAAAGGGTCCCTGATAATGAACGGCCCCCCAGAAAAGGAATCACCGGATATGTGTAATTTGCTATTGAAAACGTGTTTTTATTTGTTGTCCTTTATTTCTACTTTCTATAAATGGGATAAAAGCCAAAAGCTACCATGAGATCAATTATGTCTGACTCTTGCGGTCAATAAGCTGAAGAAATCATGCGTTGAACGACTGCTTAACATAAATCGCTGGTGCTCTTCATTTTACAGGGGTCCAGTGAACTCTTTCTTAACCAATAGAACTCAGAATCTTTGTCAGAATCGTTATCTGGTCTGCACAGAAATATGAAAGACCCCGCGAATGTGTTAACATGTCTAGGCCATGTTTGTCTGGAAACATTCAACACTCAGTCCGAATTGATGATTGGTAATTTGAGCATGCGTTCGCCCAAATCTTGGCAACACATTCTTCGATGTCAGGTGTTGTAATCTCGTAAGGTTGGCCTCGTGGGTAACACTAAGCCATGACCAACTGGTGGACGAAAATGATGATGAATTTAAAGATTTCCGTTGAATGCTCTACGATATCAAATCGTATATTTAAAAGGTAGGCCTTTCAGATTAATTTTTACGCGAAGTAGAGCTGGAATCTGGTGGTGGAGCTGGGGACGTAAATGGAGAATGTCTTTTTTCGTGATACTCTAAATGTCAACCTGTCCAGAGTACAGCCTTAAAGTTGTAAAAAAAAGATGCGCCCAGTCTCATCTCTAACGGTGCGAACCAACTTTGAAAGGCATTCGGAGCCATTATTTTACCGCGGTCGTTCTCGCCCACACGGCGCCCGCCGCCCGGTCTTACTTGTAGTGGCCAATGCCGATCTGTTCTACAGAAACTGCAACCCAGACCAAAGCTATCCTTGCTCCCGAAAATGAGGGTACGCAGACTCATACCTTTTGATACAGTTTGTTTCACCAGTCGACTATGCAAAAGGATAAAAGATTCTCAGGCAAACATGGGATGGCTTAGCTCGTTTTTTTAGCCCATTTCGAGCCGCTCAATTCATTACCTATGAGACCCCTTAGATCTTTTCGAGGAAGGGGCCCCCTGAGTAGAACACTAGAGGGCACAGTATTGCTTCCGGTCAAGGGCTGAAGTGACATTCCGTCCCGCCGCGGGGTGTCTTTCGGCTGTCATGCTGGCGACACGGAGTGAGATCCCCAGGTCAATCCGGATGCCATTAGAGGGATACATTACATTACATTAGCCCCTTCCTGACGCGGAAAGCCTTCTGACCCGCGCTGTTAGACCCGGATCGCCGCAGGAACCCTCACTGATGAAGCCACATCCCTGATCGCCGCAGATGATTCCTTAACTGCCACGTGGACTCCAGCTCGGCTTAACGGGCCCATGCTGGAACTAGGTTGGAGGGCCCACAGTGCGGCATTGGGGGCCTTGACTTGCACAGGACCCCTCCATTGCCTAAATGTAAACACTCATCATAAGTTCTTATATTTCCTTGCATTGTGAGAGAGCCCCGATCGACGCAAGAGGCCTTCCGTCATTCGGGATCTCATTCCCGCCCCTGTTGAGCAAACCTTGCCCTGACTCACTCGAGACCCCTTGCTGACACAGAATATCCTATTAGACACTGTGGGCCCTTGAGTGATACAGATTGCAAGTTCCCCATCAACGAAAATCGCAGGTCCGCCCTTGTCCCTTCTTAGGAAATGGGCCTCCAGAACTCATCCTGGCACGGAGCCAACTGTTGGTGATCTCTGGCTAAAATAGAGCAACGCTCTGTCTCAGGTGTCCCCAATGGGTACAAAAGGCCGTTTAACTGACATTTGAGATCACAACCCTACGGGCAGGGGTCCGCAATTCGACCTGCGGTTGGCCCTTCGGGCCCTTTAGCCCTCAGTCGGGCCCTTCATCTTTGGTCTCGAGATACCGGCCCCTCCTCGGTCCCTCAAACACCGCCCCCTGCCGACTCGAGGCTGCTTTTGCCACAGGACCCTTATTGGGCAGTGTGGCTCCTGACCGACAAAAGGGTCCCTTATTGTGGCATGGTTCCCGAGCATTGCACTTCGCGGACCCTACCCATTTCCTGCTTGAGAACTGGATCTCAATGGCTCAGACGAACATGGAGCCGACTGTTTGGCTCCGTGATGAGGGCGTATATTATGGAGATAGAAAACCCTAATAAGAAGACCCTTATAGACGTCCTCTGACTGATATTTCAGGTCACGGCACTACGGGTGGGGACCGGGCCCGAGTCCAATCGAGACATTGATATTTGGTCTCGAGGCGCTCCCCGGTCCCTCTGCGGGTCATCTCAAACAACGCCCGCAACCGAATAAGGGTCACTGGCCGAGACATGACCTCCTGTTATGTACTGTGGTCCCCTGACCGACATAGGGGCCCCGACCACCGTTACAGGGACTCAGAGCGATGCAAATCGTGTCCCCCGTCTTGCTCCTGCTTGGAAAATGGGCCCCAGCGTTCAGGCTGACATAGAGCCAACTGTTCGGCGTTGGTAGTTTATGGCCGGCCTAAACCCTCGCATTGTCTCAGAGGGTCCTCACCTTTATGTGACCTCCAGCCAGTCCTTCTGTCTACGTGCCCTTCAACCAGGCCTTTGACAGGCGGTCTTGTTGGGCCGCCCGGGCCCCTCATCGGACCTCATCGCACACTGCTCTTGGTCAGCCAAGGGCCCCTTGCGAGCACAGGACCCTCTGTTAGGCGCTATGGGCCCATGACACATACAGGTGTAACCCTGACTAGTGTAAATCACTGACCTCGGCCTTATAGCTGATTGAGAAGTGGGTCCTTAGGCCCATGCCGATACGGAGCCGACTGTGTGGTACTGGTGGTGCCTGGCCGAAATATAGGCCCATATCGATCAGGGAGTCCCCGATCGGTGCAAACGGCCCTCTGACTGTCCTTTGGGGGCCCGTCCCTAAGGCTGGGACCCCTGAAT